CTTCTTCCACATGGGTGCGTGACCGTTAGCGTCTTTTGGAATAGGTTGGCTTCCATGTCCTTTTCCAAAGACGACTTTCACATCATTGACCATATCGAGTACATCTCACCGGTTCGGTTATGAGGCTTGGTCGTGTGTCCGCCTTCCTTTAAAATGCTTGCCTTTCTTTCTTACGGGGTGATTTGCGGGAAGAAATCGACGATGGCCAAGGTACACGACCTTTCGATATTTTTTCAAGAATACACCTCTAATATCACCGAAGCAAAGTGTGCATGCATTATATCCCTTGTTTGATCTGTCTCCGAAGATTACTTAGAGCAGGCCAATCATTGATTATTACGAACAACAATGCTCGCAGATCAAAGTGTTCCTGTTTGTACTCATCCCACACACGTACACCTTCTTTATTCCACAAAATGAGAAGTTCGTCAATAAGTGGTCTCGGGTACACATCGATGTCATTGCCAGGTTGCTTCGGGCCTTGGATGAGCACAGGCATCATAATGAACTTCCGCTTCATGCATAACCAAGGAGGAATGTTGTAGATACTTAGAGTAACAGGCCAAGTGCTATGACTACTGTTCTGCTCTCCAAAAGGATTGATACCATCTGTACTTAAAGCAAACCTTAAGCTTCTTGCGTCATTTGCAAACTCCGGGAATTCTCTGTCGATTGCTCTCCACTGGGACCCATCAGCAGGGTGTCTCAACATATTGTCTACCTTACGGTCTTCTTTGTGCCATCGCAACAATTTTGCATGTTCTTTGTTTCTGAACAGACGTTTCAAGCGTGGTATTCTAGGAGCATACCACATAACCTTGGCAGGGATTTTGTTCCGCAGACGTTCGCCCTCAACATCACCAGGGTCATCTCGCCTGATCTTATACCGCGACGCATGGCATACCGGGCATGCATCCAATTTCTCGTACTCTTTGCCACAGTGCAGATGCGCCATTAGGACATGCATGTATCTTCTCGATTTCTAGCCCCATAGGATGTACAACTTGTTTTTTTCTTCGTAGGTAGTGGCGGGCAATTCATTGTCCTTCTAAGCATCTTCTTTTGAATTTTTAGTAACTCTCCAAATCCCTTGTCGATACACCACCATTCTTTGCCTTCCATTGCAAAGCAATTCTAGTGTGGTTCCCAACTTTTTCTCGCCTCGCATCACAAGTTGGGTACAACAATTTCTTGTGATCTTCTAGCATCCGCTCGAACTTGATCTTCTCCTTTTCCCTTTCACATTCTCTTTGTGCGTCATGAATGACCCGAGAAAGATCATCACCGCTCATCTTCTCGGCTACCTCTTCTTCACTTCTCCCATTGCAAGATCATTGAAGCACGCACCATCGGGAATAATATCATTGTCGTCCCATTGTTCTTCTTCACCTTCTTCCATTACAACACCCAGTTTCTCCGTGCTTTGTCCAACAAATATAGTTTGGCATGAAACCCGACTTGAACAAGTGTGAATGAAGAGTCCTTGAGCAAGGATATTCCACCGTATTCTTACATATGGCACATGGGCAGCACATGAAACCATCGCGTTTGTTTGCCTCGGCCGCACGTAACAAAGAATGCACGCCGTCAATGAACTCTTGGGAGCGGCGATCAGCATTATACATCCAATGACGGCTCATCTGCATTACATGACATAAATACCATATTAAAACCTAGATCATAATTAATTATTTATACAACATGCGTGCCACCACAAAAGATACAAATTTATGAAAGCATCGCTACAATGTAGACAATCCCAACTACCACTAAAAGAACTAAAGCTAAAATACATTTCAGTAGCAGTAGGATTTCACGACCAATCTCAACTAAAATGTATGAGATCCCCGATTGTGCAACATCTTTGGGCTTCTTCGGCTGGATCACCGCCTCATTAGCCGTCATATCTCTCACACAGCAAGATATTTTTGCACGAGTTCAACATACTCTTCCTCCCAAAGAGAAGCTGAACATCGTCCACTGCCATCCCACTGAAATTAAAACAAAAAATTAGAACTTTAATCACAACCATCATGAAAATAGGTATAAACTAACCATAATCATTAAATACGATAAAATAACTCACATTGCGATCCGGACACTTGTAGAAGATACGATCCTTGTTGGGACCCTCCTTCTTCACTCGGTACTCCATCACAATCTTCGTCTCATCACGACACTTGCCGCATGGAATGAGAGGGAGGCCCGACCTAAGTCGCTTTGGAAACCCATGAGAGGCCGAGGACCCTAAGCGGTTGTCATCTACTCTCTATACTCATTTTTTAATACACTATAAATTTCTCCTTTTATAAACAAATAAAATTAAGAAACTATAAAATTATCTAGATCTCTAAACAATGATATTTTTTAATGGTCATTGTGTTCTCGCTTTTCTTATGGCGGTAAGTAATTCACATGATATTTCGCAAATTAATGTAAGAATGGGAGTGTACACACATAACGATCATCGCGACGATATCGGGACGTGTGAATAAATAACCATCCATACTAGTTGACCTTGCTTACGTGATCATCTCGTGCGAGCATTTCTCCACCGGACGGCACACGTGCCAGCCACGGAAGAGCTCCAATTCTACGAGGAAGGAACACGGTCTTCCACGACCGCTGCCGCTCTCCTCGTGAGAATCAAAGCTCCTCCTTGACGTCCGTTACACGCTCGGCAGAGAACGTGCTTTCGCCGAGATGAACACGGTCCACAAGTTCAACTAGTATGGATTTTCTATAATTTTCTAACTATTTTCTAAGTTTATATTTATATATATACTACGTTTGGGTACGGTGATTGATGAGACTACTCATGGCGATATCGGGACATGTGAATAAATAACCATCCGTATTAGTTGACCTTGCTTACGTGATCATCTCGGCGAGCATTTCTCCACGAGACGGCACCGTACTTGACCACGGAAGAGCTCCAATTCTACGAGGAAGGAAACACGGTCTTCCACGACCGTTGCCGCTCTCCCTCGTAGAATCAAAGCTTCTTCTTGACGTCCGTTACCGCTCGGCAGAGAACGTGCTCACCGAGATGAACACGGTTCGCAAGTTCAACCTTATTTCATGTAAATATGCAAGCTTGAAGTGATTTTGAGCTCAAATTGCTTACAAATGAAAAAAAAATCAAAGTAAAGAACCATATATATATATATATATATATAGTGAACAAAATGAGATAAGACAATGGTGAAAAATGAGAGTATGAGATTGGTAACCTTTACAACTGAAGAATCGACGGAGGAATCAAGAAATCGATGGAGGAATCGAATAATGGATGGAGGAACAATGGAGGGAGGGAGGAAGCAAGAACACTAGTGCAAAGAGCTTCAAAATATGCCGAGCTTCGGGCTCGGGGAGGAAGAAGGAGACGGCCGGGATATAAAGGGGACCTTTTAGTCCCGGTGGTGGCTCCAACCGGGACTAAAAGTAACTTTCCAACCCCGGCGCAGCCACGGCCCGGGAGTAGACCTTTACTCCTTGGTTGGAGCCCCCAACCGGGAGTAAAAGTATACCTTAGTCTCGGTTGGTGGCTCCAACCGGGACTAAAGGTCCCCGCCACCTCTCGTCTCAGCGAGGCCGTTAGGCGGACCTTTAGTCCCGTTGGAGACACCAACCGACTAAAATATTTCTAATTCCGGACGCAAAAAATTCCGGAACTAGAGCCCATTTTAACCGAGGATCACAGACCTGTTCTCTACTAGTGTACGGAAAGCTTGTATGTACGTACATGTTTTCATCAGACGCGGACCAGAGTCACATGTGGGCCAGCCACTACTTAATTTACCCCTTGTTAACTTGTTTTTTGTGTACCTGCCAATCTCGGACCGTACAATGTTACTGTTTGCCTCTTGACTCTTGTGAGACCCAAGGGCCAAGGCCCAAAGGCTTCTCAAATTTCCATTTCCGCGCGCCAACTATTCCCATGTTGATGGCAAAACTAATAATCAAGGGAACTACTAATTTTGAGGCGCCTGAAAATTCAATTTTGATCGGGCGACGCATCTCCGAAGTTGAATTTTCATCCAATGCTCCAGCTGACGCCGTTGTTCAACTCCCCCTGTTCATCTTCCTCCCGCAGCTCTCGCCCACGCCAATGCTGAAGTCGCCCGTGCCGCCACCCACCTCCCCACCACAGCCTCGGCCGCAGAGCTCTGGCCAAACCCTACCGCGCCAGCGGCAGCATCCCTCTTCCCCTCCCCCCTCCTGCTGCCGATTTCTTCTCCAACTCTGGGAACGGAGTCATCTGAAGTCAATTTTGATTTCAGGCACCCAAGACGTGGAAGCGTGAATAATTAAATAGTCTTCTTCTTTCAGACAGACGCAGCTTTTCGCCTCTTCATAAACGGCAACACGAAGTACAAACGTACTAATATTATATAACCTCCACTCAAACGGGACGATTAGAATTCTGAATAATGCACAGCCGTCTCATTCTAGTTAGTGTCACAAGCTCAAACAGCTGGAGGCCAAGCTCCTTGCCGGAGCTGTAGGGCAAGGTGCCGCAAGGTGTTGCTGTTGGCCCTCTCGATCCGCTGGCCGGTGTGGGGCAGAGATGCTGGAGCGCAAGGCAGAGTGGTCGGCTGCCCCCTGGCAACATCACGTACGTGCGATCCGCGGAGAGCGAGTGCTGCCCTTCGGCCGGCTTCTCCAGCTTGACGGCAGCACTGCTCCGGCGCGGGCGGCGGTGTGCTCCATTCAACAAGGAACACTACGTAATTAGCAACTCACAGTGCTTCAAAAGATCCACACGCTTGCATTCGCACAAGCATATTAATTAGTACTTCATAACAAGCACAAAACAACGATCCATATCAAGCTTGGTTATTGGAGCAAGAACAAGACGCAGATATATGCAGTCATATCATATAGATATGTGAAGGCAAGACGGACAGTGATGACTGATGATGATCCAGCTGGGAGATGCGTCTTAACTCTTAAGCTTTTCTCCCCGAGCAGAATTAGGTCGATCGTTGCGGTTCTAGCTAGAGCCGCAGCTCGAGGTCCAGCTCCTCGCCAGCGCCGGAGGATGCGGCGCTGGTGTCCGCGCACTCCGGTGGGGCAGACGCTCGGGAGCTCCTTCTCCAGTTGAGCACGTCCACGGTGCCGTCGAGCGACCTTGTGAAGGGGCGGTCAGGCCTCTCCCTCTCGAGCTTGGGCTTGACGCTGGCAGGGGGCTCAGCGGCGGTGCCGCCGCCATGAGAGGCGAGCGGCAAGGATACGGAAGCGACACCGAGGCTGCCGCCCATGGCCGCCGCTGCAGCGTAGTGGTCGCCGTAGACGTCGGGGTTCCAGATCCAGCCGGCGGCGCGCTCCTTCTTGTGCGCGTTCTGGTGCCCGCCTAGCGCCTGCGACTTGAGGAACTTCTTGTTGCAGAAGAGGCACGAGAACAGCCGCGCCTCCTTCCCGCCGACGCACGCAGTCACCTGGTCCTTCTCCTCCTCGAGGCAGTGTCCCGCCGGCGCCAGGCATATCGCCAGGTCCACCGCCACAGCCACTTGAGAAGGCAGCGACCAGGGCGCTTGCGCCATGCAACCGGAAGGAATTTTCACAAGCAGCTGCCGTGGGGGTGGGGCTGTCACAAGTTGTATCACTAAAATTCGGCGGCTGTGTTGCAAGATGTACAGAAATGGAAGGAGCTAGGACGAATATAAAGGGTGAGAAGCATTGCGACGTGCTAGCGGTGAGATGGATGGGTAGTACTACTACTACTTGACATGAGTGATGGGCTTGAAGGGCATCCCGTTCTCTTTTGGTACTAGCAATAGCAAGGAGCAGAAGCCTATATATGCAAGACAACAAGTACATATATATGATTCTGTGCAGCAGTGATAGCTGCAACTGCAATGCAAACCAGTGCCTGTATTGTGGTAGCACACTGCCCTGATCGACGACATCTGTCCCCATCCTTGCAGATCTCAAAGCAGGCTACTCCAGTGTTATTATCCTCTATTCAGCTCGATCGATCTTTTCCAGGCGAAGAAAGCGAGCTAGTAGCCACCTCGCATAGAGCAAATCCGAGTGGATCTTCCTTTGTTCTTGAGGAGAGTGAAAACGACTCCCCCCTCCTATCCTGCACCTTAGTCCATTAACATTAGGCCTTCCTCACTAGACCGATCCCTTCTCTATAACAACAAAAGAGAGCTCACTGGCTAGCTAGGGTTTTATACGGAGTAATCCACTTTTGTACTGCCCTGATGCAGGCAATAGCAATGTGATTTACTGCTGATTGTCATAATATAAACCCAAATAACCTCGCTGTCATTCACAAACCATATTGGAAACTCATCGCCTTGTGATCACATTTAATCACTCATGACACTATGGCCCCGTTCGCGTGCCCTTAAACCCGACTTGATCCGCTTATTTTTTTCATCCGGTACAGTGTTTTTCTCTTACAAATTCCTCCAACATTTCTCCAAACCATCCAAATTCCTTTAGAATTCAGACAAGCGAACAGGCCCTATAAGAAATGTGACATTTGCTACCAGTTTGTCTATAAGCGGCTGACAGTTGTAGTGACTTCTATTATTTCTCGTGAAGTTGCCGACGCATGGTTTTTATGAAACAGTTTTCATCTTTTACTTTTACAACAACTTTATCAAATCTCCAACAACATAACCCACAACAAACTATTTACGTACTCATAGTCATGGCAGGTAGCTATCCAACTATTTTTTACATAAAAGAAACAATCCTGCTTCAGTCCTCTTCAAAAAGAAGAACCATCAGTCCATCATTATTATAAAGTCTATCCAACTCCTTGCAATGAGTTTAAGACTAACAATCAATGCGAAAAATAAACAGCCATCCATAGGAGGCAAAGAACTATATCGATCTTGACTCTAGTAGCTGGCAAGAGTGTACTTGAAATCTGTGAGTGTTCCTTGGTGTGTTGTAACAAATCTAGATCCAGAGACAATATGCCCCCTCCCTGACACCCCCCCAATAGTACCTGTAAAAATGGTTTTGGTTAGCAATTGTTAAACACAATGTCATTTGTGGTAAGCCAAATAGCCTAGCAAATAACAAAAAAGCCTATCAACTGAAAGGATCAAAATGCCCAAGATGGAGGTGAATTGGGCTAATTTTAAATTTCTTCGTAATAAATAAGTCCTATGGTTAGCCCAATTGACCCCTTGTGCCTAGAGAAGTGTTTCTATTGATCTAACGCACAAAAGTTTAGCAACCTAGTTCCAATCCTACTCTAGCATGGCAATTCTAGGAATGTAAATGACAAGAATTGAAATGCTCAAAGTAAATGCTCAAAGTAAAGAGAGGAGAGGAAACGCGGCGATGTTTTGCCGAGGTATCGGAGAGTCGCCACTCCCCACTAGTCCTCGTTGGAGCACCCACGCAAGGGTGTAGCTCCCCCTTGATCCGCGCAAGGACCAAGTGCTCTCTACGGGTTGATTCTTTGACACTCCGTCGCGGTGAATCACCCACAACCGCTCATAACTTGAGTTGGGTCATCCACAAGCTCTCCGGATGATCACCAAGCTCCCAATCACCACCAAGCCATCTAGGTGATGGCGATCACCAAGAGTAACAAGCACGAACTCTCACTTGACCACAACAATCCTAGAGAGAAGGGTGGATGCACACTTTGCTACTCTTGATCTTCACTAATGAGGGCTCTCTTTGGATTCTCAAATCTCAATCACCTTACTAGGACCTTGCTCTTCTTGGCACTCTCTAAGGTGTGTTTCAGTTGTTGAAATGAGCAAAAGTAACTCCACACACGAGTGGAGCTTCTATTTATAACATGGGCTGAAAAATAAACCGTTATGTGCCTCTGTGGGGTGACCGGACGCTCCGGTCATGTTGACCGGACACTCCAGTCAGTTCAACCCGCACACCAGTGTTTACGTGTTGACCGGACGCTGGCAGGGTCCGGTCACCACTGACCGGACGCGTCCGGTCCCATTTTTCCCTTACTGAAAGCTTACTATACTCAACCGGACGCAGAACCCCTAGGGTCCGATCAGCACTGACCGAACGCGTCCGGTCGCAGATTCTCTTCTCTAGAACCTTACTGGAGTCGACCGGACGCTGGCCCTCAGTGTCCGGTCACTTGACCTCTCCAGCGTCCGGTCAAACCGGACTACTTCACCTCAGTCAAATGAACTGACCGGACCCTACGGCCAGCGTCCGGTCGCACCGGAGCCAGCGTCCGGTCAGTCTTTGACCCTCCATTCACTTCCAAGTCTCGATCATTTGTGAATAAAGTTTGCTCCAAAGGATCTTAGGCATATTTAGGAGCTACCTAGTGCTAGTTTTAACAAGTGTGCACCACACCTAACTCACTAGACTCACCTAGGTCAAGCTACCTGTCCATACCCCCCTTAATAGTACAGCCAAAGGAAAAACAAAGTCCTAAACTACTCTAAGTGTCTCTCCAACTCCAATCGACACTTAGAACTAGTCATCCTTAACCTTGTCGTCCATCCTTTGAAAACCGAAACGATTTCCATCGTAGGGGCATGACAACCATGATTGCCCAATCGATCTCCATTACCGTGACCTAACTTAATTTCCTCTGCAAAACACACGTTAGTCACAGTAATCTAACATTGTCATTAATCATCGAAACCCAATTAGGGGCCTAGATGCTTTAAATCTCCCCCTTTTTGGTGATTGATGACAATACAACCTCGAGTATGTGAAAGAGTTGAGGTTTTTAACATGCTTGGATCATATAAGCTTTTAGCAATAAGAACAAAAGAGTTAGTCAAGCTTATATAACCCAAGCCATCATGATGTACTCAAATGGTATGAAATAAGCATGAGTACAATAAGAAAGACTCATTTGCATCGGAGTAAAAACGTGGAATCAAAGGCAAATGATCATAGCTCAAGTGATATGACATATTAAAAAATTCAAAGTAGAGAGCACACATGTCATATATCACAATCACGTAGATATCACTATCACATAGACATAATAGAATGCATGAAAGTAAACACACGAATGCATAATAGTAATAGTGTATCACACAAATAAAACTCCAAATGTATATAAAAGACTAAAAGCTAACTAGGCTCCCCCTAAAAGACGCTCCCCCTGAGTCTACATACTCGAACCCTCTCCCCCTTTGGCGTCAAAACACCAAAACCTAAGGGCTGGTCGACGGGGCTGCAGCGGACGAGTCGGGCGCTGAAGAACGAGGAGCAAGCTGAAACTGGGCTGCATCATCATCTGACCCTGAGCTCTGTGCTGACTGACCCTCTGTGGCTGGAAGCGTCGCTGAAGCGGTCTGGGTCTGAGCTGGGGCAGGTGCTTCCTATGATGCTGCTGGTATATCTGTCGTAGGATCTGAAGATGCGACAGACGAAGGGAGCCTCTGAGTAGTCACGGCGACTGGAGCTGCTGTAGAAGGACCTAGGGCATGCATATGTGGCGGTGTAGGCATCCCTATCAACTCGCTGAAAGATGCTCCAAGACTCCTGGAGACTGACGTGTCAGGCACAAATAGCGAGAATGACTGATCTGGTGTGAAGCCTGTCTGAAATGGTGTGAAATGTGGGGCTACCACTGGCGAGGATAACCACTGGGACACCTGTATAGGGGGAGAAGCAAACTGAGCTGGAGGCTATCCCTGACTCTGAAGCCCACTGGGCTGTACTGCTAGAGTCATCGTAGTGGTGGCAGGCTGAGCAATCTGGGGCGAAGGCTATGGCTGTGGGGCCCCAAGAGCTGTCACTACATGCTGCATGAATCCCATAAGCTGCTGCTGCATGAGTAACTGCTGTTGATGCATCTGCTGCTGCTGTTGCTGGAGGACCTGCTACTGTCGTTGAAACTCATCCTGACGAGCCTGAAACTGAGCAAAGTTGGCAGCGGTCTCCTGAGCCTGTCTAGTCTGATCCTGCTGCATCCGCTCAAGAATAGCAATGAGAGCGGGGTCCGTCTGCGGTGCAGGTGGAGCTGAGCTAGAACTGCCGGCCTCTGCATCGTGTCTGCGTGGAGGCATCTGAGGAATAGGAAGGTAGTCATCATCCGAACTGTCACTAGACTCGCTCCTGTCCTACTGAGCTTCAAGCTGCTCCTCCTCAGTAGCTGCTATGCCTCTGATAATCTCGTCCTGCTGAGCTACGGACTCTGGTACATCTGGGCGACGGCGAGGCTGACTGGGTGCCTGAGGAGTGCTGTGTCTGATCCTCTGTGCCATGTTATATGCTGGGAACTCCGTGGTGGCACCTCTGTACTCTGCAACCATCTCTGGTGTCCTAACTTGCACAGCCTTGAGCATAAGGAATGTGATCCAATGTGCATATGGGAGCTGCCTGCGACCCTTGAAGCCCTCAGCTATCGTGTCCTCCATCTCAGACAGAAGAAGATCCCAAATATCGAACACTGTCTGCTGCATCAAGGCATTGAGGAGCCAAAGCTGAAGGTGAGTCAAGCCCTCTCTGTATCCCAACTTGGGAAGTAGTGTCCTCCTAATGATAGCCTCTAGCATTCTAGCTGTAGGAGTAAGGTCACTAGGGTTCCTCGACCCCTCACCAAAGGGCTCCTTGAAGCAATGGC